CAGCTCAAGGCTAGCACTCTACCACTTGAGCCACAGCACCACTTCCGGCTTTTTTCTTTTTGCTTATATGGTGCTGAGGAATTGAACCCAGGGCCTCAAGCATGCAAGGCAAGCACACTACCACTGAGCCACCTTCCCAGCCCCAAATCAAGGGTCTATAAATGTGGTTGGGGAAAGGTTACACCTTTAGTTTCATTAACTGGCATGAAGCTCACTTCAATTATGAATGGAGGAGAGAAATTGTGACAGGATTAGCTAGACCTGGATCTTTATCGTAACTAGAAATCAGAAATACTTTCAGGCTACATTTCGGTTTGCTGTAGATAATTTGTATTGTTTTTCTTTTTCTTAAAGTTGTTGTTCAGTAATCATTATTGTTTCCATCCATCTCTACATCTTTATATATTAATAAAGAAGCACATATGTTAGTACGTAACAAATTAATTTTTTCACATATTTTGATAACTCTGTGACCTGTTGGTGATCTGTGAACTCTTAAAAATAATATTCTGAAGCCAAGTACTGTTTGCTATAAACCTAGCTACAGGAAGCTGAAATCTGGAGGATCAAGGTTTGAAACCAACCTGAGAAGAAAAGTCCTCAAGATCCCATCTCAAAAAAAAAAATAGTGTAATCTATCTCCAAAATAAGCAGCACAATAATTGGTACGCAGGTATGGTGCAGGTATGGTGCAAGAACTGAGTTCAATCTTTAGAACCGGCCTCCTATGGGAAAAAAAGATTTTTTTCTGAGAAAAATGGTATAGGGCTCATCAAATGCCACTATGACTCCTGACACAGAGAAAGATTATTGACAGACAAGTGAGTGAGGACGTAGAAAATAGATATTGGATTGTTACCTTTCTCTATGAGTAAGAGGGCAGTCTGAAAAGGAGGAAATTTGATGAGAAACACATGAAAATTTCTTTTCTTTCAGGCTTTTACAGTTTTAATATGTCCAAATTAGTATGCTTCTAAATGTCTTTTCTTGACTAAGTAGATTTCTAAATTGTAGTGGAAGAAACAGGCATTAATTTTTGTTCCTTACTTTAACAAATCTCTGGTATATTCCACCATCAATAACAGATAGGCTTTAGGCTGAAATAAACACCAAAACACACACATACAGGTAGATAATATTAAGGCAATATCTGCCTGTTCTCATTTTGATGGTTCTTATTTCCAATTACTGGCCATAAAACAATACAATAATTTCTAAGTTTTATATGTTCATTTCACTGTGCTTGAGTGTTTGATTAGTTATGTTTTTAAAAATGTTGCTGTCTTCCTTAAAGCTACCCCTTCACTTCGCTTTGGGTAATGCTTAAGATGGCATTTCTCAAGGCATTTGATATCTGATATCTGATACTGCTCATAGAATGGTATTTACTAAATTGTTGAATGTGTGTGCTAGTTTTAAAGACTCTGTGTATGGATATCTGTTGTGTACCAGTGGTTCATATTTGTAATCAATGCTACTCAGGAGGCTGAGATCTAAAGATCCTGGTTTGTACCCAATCTGTGTAGGAAAGTCTGTGAGACTTTGATCCCTAATTTACCACCTACAAGCTGGAATTGGAGCGCTGGCTCAAGTGGTAGAGCTCCATCCTTGACTGATAAAGCTAAGAGACTGTACCAGGCCCTGAGTTCAAGCTTCAATACTGCCATACACACAAAATTACCAATTTTTCTTTATTTCTTAACAACAAAGTTTAATAATATACAGATCGATCAATTGATAGATAGGTAGATATAGATATACAGGGAACCATATAAAATCTCCTAAGGTAACCTTCCTCTGTATAACACTTCCTAAATAAATTATTAGGGTAAAATTTCAATGTAGATTATATACATATAAATATAATTTTGCAATTGATATTTGGTATCCATGTTGTCTCTTCTAATATAAATCATGTATGAATATTTATATAGAGAATTTGAATATTGATTCAGAAGTGATTTGACCATGATACAAGAGCTATGAGAAAAGATATGAAATTTATTTTAAAAAGTGCAATTTTTTTCTTCTGAAATTCTATTTGTTGCTTGGATAATAGCCTTCTTTATAGATTGCTTTATAATCATACATTTCTTCTTATTTCTTATTTCAATCTATTTTAACATTTCTATTTCTTATTAGTATTTTATTTTTTGAGAGATATGCTATATATTTCTTTTGTTTCTCACAAAACTCCAACGTAGTATCTAGAATGTGGAACTAATCTGTAGTCATGTAATTAGACTCTGAAGCTAGAATGTAAAATTACTTTCCAAGTACAGATTAGATAAATTATAATATATGGTGAATAGTCTTATTCTTAGTTTAGCTTTGACAATCTCTTAAAACAGAAGACTGGAAAGTTGATTTATGTGTCCCAATATTCAGTGAATGTAGCCAATTCTTGGAACCACAAACCAGAATGACAAACCCCCAATCCCCAAGTAAATCAAGTCATCCTTGGCAAAGGATATGCAGATGATCAAGTAAAAGTGAGGGGCAGGCCATGAGATTCTTTGCAAAACTTGTTAAGGCTTTTGACTTATGTATTGTAAGCAATAAATAATATTTCATAGCTTTTGCTGCAGATGATCATGCTTCATGAAGAGGATTGTGAGAATGGCACAGGTAGAGAGGAGGGAAGAAAGAAAGAACAAATGTGAAAAAAATAATCTAGGACAGAATCAGGAAGGTCATAATGCAGGAAGATCTTCTAGATGATATAAAAAATAGGATTTAGGGAAATTAGTGAAAACTAAGAAAATGAGTAAGTGAAAGACATTTTTGTAAATTCTTAAGAGATTTCAATACTGTAATCAGGCAGGATTTTGTGTCACTACTAATATGAAATATACGACATGAGGAATAGATAGTGAGGGAGAGGAAATGAATTAAGTTTGGGATGGCTGCTTTATGGTACTTTGGTTTTTCAGTAATTCTTAATCCTTCATTAAGGGAGAGATGTTTATTTTCATTCTGTTATAATGATTAGCAAATTACAAAGCATTTCTGATTGATTATCTCATTTGATACTTATATTTTGGTCCTGGTCATAGGGCTTGAACTCAGGACCTGAGCTATTTAGTTGAAGGCTAGCATTTTACCACACAAGATACAGCTCTAGTTCTGGCATTTGGGTGGTTAATTGGACATAAGGGTCTCACGGACATTCCTGCCTTGACTGGCTTCAAACCTCAGACATGAACCACCAGATATTTTTATTATTATTATTATTATTAAATATGGAATGCTTCATGAATTTGCATGTCATCCTTGTGCAGGGGCCATGCTAATCTTCTCTGTATCATTCCAATTTTAGTATATGTGCTGCTGAAGCGAGCACCCACCAGGTATTTTTATAGTTCAATAATTACAACCATGTTATAGAGAAGTGAGCTGAATATCAGTGAAGATAAGATAATTTGTACAAGTCTAGAAAAGAACAGTTATTTCTCTTAAGCACACATTATATTCTGAACATATCATTGTTTTTTTCTTTTTTCTTTTCTATCAGAACACTTAAAATTATCTTTAAGTAGCTGTATAAAGGAGTTGCCAGCTGGGTTCTGGTGGCTCACGCCTGTAATCCTAGCTACTCAGGAGGCTGAGATCTGAGGATCATGGTTCAAAGCCAGCCCAGGCAGAAAAGTCCGTGAGACTCTGATCTCCAATAAACCACTAGAAAACTGGAAGTGGCGCTGTGGCTCAAGAGGTAGAGCGCTCGCCTGGAGCTGAAGAGCTGAGGGACAGCGCCCAAGCCCAGAGTTCAAGCCCCACGACTGAAAAAAATGGAGTTGTCGTTTAATAATGCAGTTTATGAAAAAAAAATCTGGGTCAACGTCACCTATCTGTCTCTCATCAATCCTTTTTGCACTCCTCTTAACTTTGTAGGATATACATTGGATTCTTTACTGCATTCTTCCCCAAATCTCCTCTTCATTTGTCTACCCCTTTTCTTTTGACCCCAACCCGCCCCTTTCAAGTACCCAATTCCTGGTGTTTTATTTTGTTGATTGATTTTGCCTTTCTAAGGCACCATTTAAGATCTCTCTTGAATATACTATATTTCAGTTAATACATTTGTATACACTTGTTTGCCACCCAATGTATTCACTTGTGAAATTTTAAGCTGAATCTAGCTTCTACATATAAGGGAAAACATGGATCATTTATCTCTCTGAGTCTAATTTACTTCACTTGACATAATTTTCTCCAGGTCTTTCTGTTTCTCTACAAATGATACAACATCATTTTATCTAATGGAAGAGTAATAATCGATTTGCTTATACAGCACATTTTCTTGATCCATTCATCTATTGAGAGGCCTCTGGGCAGATTTCGTACCTTGGCTATGGTGAATAGTCCTGCAATGAACATGGCTGTGGTGGTGGCTTTACTGTATCCTAGTATATAATCTTTTGAATAAATATTCAGGAATGGAATTGCTTATTTATATGGTAGTTCTGTTTACTTTTTTGAGGAGCCTCTATGCTGCTTTCCAGAGTGGTTAAACATGCTTAAATTCCTGTCAACATTTTATTAGGGCTTTTTTTTTGGCTGCATCCCTGACAGAACCTGTTATCATTTGCTGTCTTGATGATGGTCATTCTAACTGGGGTGAGGTGGAATCTCAATGTTGTTTGGATTTACATTTCCTTTATATTCAGAGATGGTGCATATCCTTTACTACTTCTTGCTATAGGAAAATGAATTGAGTTACATTTTGCTATGCTCCGTATTAAGGATCAAACTTAAAATGCTTTACCACTTACGCCCACTGAACAGAATGCTCTTGGCCAGATTATCTCACTATTAATACTTCCCCTGATTCCACATGCAAAAACATCTTTTAGTTACTGTTTTTAAGTCTATATGCAACAAGATCTTCCTTAGAAAACATTATGACTGAAAGAAAATGCAAATTATAGCAGCCATGTCACTCTCTGAGGCATTATGCTCAACAGAGTACAGAATAAAAGAATTAGAGAATACAAACTTACCTCTGTTTCCCTTTGTGTTCGACAGAGCCAGCTGAGAGCCTGTCCAGAGGAGAGCCAAAGCCAGAGAAGCTTCTCTTCTTCTTTGTCTCAATCACATCATTCTCCAGGGATACTAGTTCATCAAGCAACAGGAGCTTTCCTGCCAGGTTGGTTGCTGGTTTCTCTTCCCTGAGTGTGGGTGGTGACTGTACATCTGTGAGCCCAGAATCAAAAGCCTATAGGACATAGAAAGATTCTTTTAGTATAGACAAAGAAATGCCCAATACCCGTAATCATCTACCTTAGGCATTTTTTAGATGGCATCCATTGTTCAACAGTTTATAATGTCTCATGCAGTTACATTTCAGAGAGAAAGATACATTTGGGGGGGGACTAAAAACAGCAGTAGAGTATAACTAAGAGAAAAGCTAAACACCACCTGCAGATTGAGTTTGTTTCAAGACTTTATTCTCTGCTTATTCTTTCAGACTTAGCCCCTGTAACAACTGCCTCCTTCCTTCAGCTAGAAATCTTTCCTCATGCCACTCATTACCTCTTACCTTATGCTACACTGGTTACAATATATTTGGATTTCTTATGAGATTATAATAAATTGAGGACAATGGCTGTCTCATTAAGCTTTTATTTGCTCCATTCAATACCTAGCAGAGTGTCTTGCTGAAAGTACTCAATAACTTTCTGATGAATATTGCATAAGTTCTGAGACAATAACCCTAAACTTATCGCTATTTTCCAGTCACCACTCATATCCATTATTTATTGACACAGGCCCCTAAAAACCCACCATGTGTTAGCTATGCATTAGATTTAAGGGAAGGAAAAATGAATAAATCCAGTCTCTGTGCCCAACGAACTTAACATCTCATCCATTTATGTGATTTATTAAAAAATATTCATGAGTATCTAAAATGTGAAAGAGCTATCCCAATATCTTTATTGTCCCAACTAAGTTTTCTTCTTTGTTAGTAATATATATTGTCACTGTGATTTATTCAAGTCATAAATGTGTACATGTCCAGTTTGCAAAGTCTTCTTCTTTTCCTAGGCCCAATAATGGAATTTCCAACAATGGCTCCTCTTAACAATCCTGATCATTTTGCAGTCTAGGAAATACTGCTTCTTTTCTAAGATCCTGAGATTATTCCCACAGGAAAGCTAAGATGCTAGGCAATTCTTTCTTTGTTAACCACATTCATCCATAAATCACAGTGTTGCTCTCAACATAGAAATTGCAGAAGGAACAATGCTCCAATCACTAGAAACAACCCTAAAGAGCAGGAGACTAAACTTTATCTCCTAAAGCACCGCTCAAAACCTAATGTACGGGCTGGGAAGGTCGCCCGGTGGTGTGGTGCTTGCTTTGCAGTCATAAGGCCCAAGGTTCAATTCCTCAGCACCACATAAGCAGAAAAATAAAGCTGGAAATGGTGCTGTAGCTCAGGTGGTAGAGTGCTAGCCTTGAACTGAAGAGCGGAGGCCCAGAGTTCAGGCCCCACGACCGACAAAACAAACAAACAAACAAAACCTAATGGACTTTGTTTTACCAAGACATTTCCTACTTGTCTGACTCTGGTAGAAACGGCTTATGTTTATAAAAATATAAACGTGGTCAGATAAGCTGGTTTTATTACCTCTGTTGCTACTTCCATTGAGAGGCCTTTTGCTGAGCTCCACAGCACCACAGTCACAGCCAGGATTATATGTGCACTTGCCAATCTCCAGTCCAGCATCTAGGGTTCACATACATCAGGATTACCATAAACTAGTCTGGAATATAAAGATGCAAAACAAAAGCTCCAGCTGGGGTCCAGTGGCTATTACTGTAAACCTAACTAAACAGGAGTCTGAGATCCAGAGGACTGAGGCTGAAAAATCTGTGAGACTCCATCTCCAACATAATCAGCAAAAAACAGGCTGGAAGTGTGGCACAAGTGGTAGAGCACCTGGTGTATCAAACAAGTTGGAGGTGTGGGTTCAAACCCTGGTACTGTCAATATAAACACATACAAATAAACACATATAAACACCTAAACCCATAAAGAAATCTTATTAGAGGCCAAGCTTTCCTTCTACCCACAGAATGCTTTTCTACAAATCTGAGTATGACAATAAAAGCTGTCAATCTTCCAGAATAAATTCTAAGAATTGTTTTTATGGAAACCTAGATAGTTTTTGTAAGCTATTATTATATTTTATCAAAAATGAATCCAGTGTGTGAAAAATCCAGTTCATATAACCTTATTTTTTTTGTCCTATATGGTGAGTACTACCTCCTGCTCCTAAGGGAACATATAAAATTGTCAAAGCATAGAGAGAATAAAGCTTGGTAGGATCTGAGCTGGAAAGAATGAGGTACATATAAAAGTAGTTTTAAAAACCCTGAAAACATTACATATTCAATAGAACACCTTGATATTCTTGTCTTATGTCAGGATTCTTTAAGCAAATTTGAAAGGTAAAAAATCATGGGGCTGGAGATGTAGTTCAGTACTAGGTTCCTTGCTACGTGTATAGGGCTGGGTTCAAGCCCCTGCACTATAAGAAAACCAAACAAAAGAAAAAGCAAGGAAAAAAATCAAGTGAACATCTTATAGAAGAAAATTGTCAAGTTTTCATTATCTTTAAACAGTTGTACAAATGGATTTTAACTCACCATACCATTTATGAGTAAAGAGCTTCTTGATGAATGTCACTCCTTATGTATGATAAAGACACAGTAAATGAAGTAGGGAAGATACACATCCATAAAAATAAAGCAATGGTATTTTGACCATGTCAGTAAGTAACAAATAAAAATGAGCCAAAGCTATAAATAAACATTTCATAGAAAAGGAGAAACCTGAATGGAAAATAAACATTTCACAGTACATTGTGAGCTATTTAATGCAAATGAAACTTGAATGATTGTTCTACCATTCTAGACATAACATATGAAATACTAGCCCCCATTGCAAATATTAGGATGGTATGAAAAAAACAGAAGATAGAAAAAATGTTGATGGAATTGACAATGGATACAATCATTTGCAGAAAATTTTGCAGTAAGAGAAGGTTGGATGTGCTCACATTCTACCAATGACACACATGCTTCATTTCTAGTTATATATCCCTGAGAAACCCATAATGTTCTGAGGAGATACGTGCTTAAAAAGGCAAAACCTCATTGTTTAAAAGAATCAATCCATATGATATATTCATGAGATAGTAGATTTTTAATTGGGGCATATTTAAACTATGGACTTATAAATATTAGTGTATTTAATGTCAGAGTAAATAAATGTACATACATATATAATGTGCAGATTTTAAGAAAGCAGATTTTGGGGATAGATAGGGAAATAAAGAAAATATATGACTAAATCCATTTATCTCAATTGGAAATGGACAAAGCAATTCCATGTATTTTGGAATATATACATGTAACTAAAAAATAAACCAGTAGAACTTGATTCATGATTATACCTCTGAAGAAAGAAAAGTGAATAAAATTATACAGCAAACATAAAAGTAGTCAATATGCAAAAATATGATATTGGGCCTTTCCCAGATCTTTCCCAGCTCTTTCCCCCAGCTCTCTTTTCCCAGTCTCTTGGAGGGCCAATGTGGCCTGGTGCCAGCCAGAACCATGAATAAACCTCCCCCTTACCTGAAAAAAAAATATGATATTGGTAACTGATTGGCAAATGCAAGGCGTGACTTTTATAAATTCTAAGCTTGTTACATTAGAAAAATATTAGACAATTAGGGTTCATCTATAAAAATAATTTAGGCTTGCTGATTGTCAGTTTGACCATTAAACCGTGTGTGTGTGTGTGTGTGTGTGTGTGTGTGTGTGTGTGTGTGCACCATTTCTGGGCCTTGAACTCTGGGCATTACCCCTGAACTTCTTCACTCAAGGCTTGGTGCTCTACCACTTGAGCCACTGCTCCATTTCTAATGTAGTGGTTAACTAGAGATTAGAGTTTTATGGGTGTTCCTGCCTGGGCTGGCTTGAAACTACTATCTTCATGTATCAGCCTCTTGAGTAGCTAGAACTACAGATATGAGCCACCCAGAACTTTTTAACACCGCATAATAAAAGAACAGGCTTACTGGTGAGGACCACAGTTATGGGTTTCTATTTCCTTAAAAAAATCAGAAGGGCTTAGCTCAAGAAAAAAGAAAAAAGATCTGAAGGAAAATCGCTGGGGCAACGAGGAGGGGATTAACAGTAGGTAATGGATAGAATTGGTTTTGAGCCACATTTTGCTTTAGTTTTGCTATGATATTATCATTTGACCCATGGAAACTTTCTTTTCCTTGTTTGTGAAGTAATTCTTACCTCAGAAGAAAAGGATTGAATGGAGTGATGCAATGACCCTTTTATGTCAGATAGTGTTTATAACGTATAAGTGAAACAACACTAATGTGGTGTTACTATTTCTTTAATACCTATATACAGTTTGATGTGACCTCAAATTTTCTTTCTGGCACTTTCTTAAAAATTATTACAGTGAAATTTTAATGTAGATTTTAGTAAGCAATGTCATATGTCCAAAATATAAAGAAACAAGTCTTTTATATACATAAGAGCATCTGTGTTAACTATGCTACATATGAGTTAAAATGCAGTCAGTAAAATTGTCTACCACATTTATTTTAATTTTCACATCATTTAGCCTAAATTATTTGTTCATTGAGGCCCCCAATTAGTCTATTTTGTAATCATGTCAAATATGTCCATTAATCATTACATCTCTGTGTCCCATTGTTTTTCGAGGAGCTGTTTAATACTATGTTCCTTTTGTTAAAATCTTATGTGTGTGTGTGTGCATGTGTGTGTGTATACAGTACTGTGGCTTGAACTCAGGGCCTCACAATCTAACTTAGCTTTTTCACACAAAGCTGGTACTCTACCAGTTGAACCATGGCTCTACATCTGCCTTTCTCGTGGCTAATTGGAGATAAAAGTCTCTTGGACTTTCCTGTCAGGGCTGGCTGTGAATGGAGATCCTGACATCACAAACTGTTGAGTAGCTAAGATTAAAACAAACATGAGCCACCAGTCCTGGCTAAAGTGATATTTCAGTTGAGATTGTCAGCAGTTATCAGGAAGCAAAAACCATGAGTATGTCCCTACATAGAGAAAATACACAAATCTGAAGAAATACTACAGCTATTATTATTTGATAAATATACCTAATGAAAACTGCATTAGCTTTTCTTTTTGGAAATCAGCCCCTTCTTCAATAAAATATTCCCCGATTTTTGCTTATATTTCTTTGACTTTTTTTTCACATAAACCAAGATATATTAACCAAACTGTACTTTCAAAAAGGAACTCATATTTCTTATATCTTTTAAAAATAGCTCTCATTTAATCAAAGATAAACTACAATTGTGCTGGTTTTTTTTTCCCTTCCTTGTTTCTCATATTAAGTTAAAAATAGGTTGCAAAGGGCAAAATTGCCCAGTTTTATCAGCCTTTCCATGTGGATTTCCTTTTACTATTTTTATGCACATTTCACTAACTGGGTCTCCTTTCATCTCTGTAGCTTTCCTTATAAATGGCTCAGGATGATGGGTGTTTACAATATTGATGATTATGTCTGAAGCGTATATTTTTATGCTTGGGTGTAGATAGGAAAAAAATGTCATAATATATCATCTAACAGATAACCACATCCTGATTATTTAGAAAGGGAGATGTAAAAATAAATGGTGAGTTTAAACACATGCATTTAATGGTTTAAAGCCATCCATGCCATCAGTAAACCAAAAGGCCACGTTCCTAAATATGGCGCTTGGTGCACAAATGAAAACAAGCACCATGGCACCTGCTGCACAAAGAACGTTTGATTAACCAGTTGAAACTTGATTGCTACAAAATTAGAAACAGAGGAAATTATAGGGAGGAAAGGAAAGACCAGGTTTAGCCCCATTTCCCTATTTTGTTGATAGTGGATAAATATAGATCATGATTTACAAATTTCCTCCGCTCCCTGTACACTCCAGATCATGAAAAGAGCCCTCAAAGAATGTCAATTCACCAAAGAGAAAGTGTTTACACCTTTTCAATCACTCTTACTGAATAATTTTTGAGCCGTAATTCCTCTGGGTGGTAGTGAATTTCATAAGTCATGGGATTTGTCTTTTAAGAAGATTTTGTTCACACTTCATTTATTTTTAGGCCCTTAGATTATTATGTTTTCACACGTCCATTCCTTGTACAAGGGGGACTTCATTGTAACATTTTTTCACACGCAGAAGTGCACCAGCCACATCTTCTCTGTGTTCCCCTATCCCACTCCACAAACCTTTTCAACAAGTGAAGTTGTTTTATTTCTGCACATGCAAACCAGTGTTCCTCTATGTTCACTCCCCTCACTAGTTTGTTCCCCTCCAAGTGCACTTACCCACCACTCCCAATGTAGCAGCCCACTATATTATTTAATGTTTATTAACTGTACCATGATGTTTCAGATATGTGTATACTAAACCTTGATTTGAACAACCTCTCTCCTGCCTTCTTCCTAGTACTCCCAAAGCCATTGCTTAACAGCTTTCATTAAGGTTCTTTATTTGGACTTCATACATAGTACCACATATTTTGAATTTAATCTTTCTTTTGTCTTCCCATCCCTCATTCTCTTATATGGTTCCATAGCTATAGTCATGAAGTATGTATGTATATGTATGTGTGTATGTCTACATATGTGTGTATAGTTGTATATGTGTTATAGGTATGCAC